GGCGCAATCTCGGCTCACTGCAAGCTCCGCCTCCCGGGTTCACGCCATTCTCCGGCCTCAGCCTCCCGAGTAGCTGGGACTACAGGCGCCCGCCACTGCGCCCGGCTAATTTTTTCTATTTTTAGTTCAGACGGGGTTTCACCATGGTCTCGATCTCCTGACATTGCGATCCGCCCGCCTCGGCCTTCCAAAGTGCTGGGATTACAGGCGTGAGCCACCGCGCCCGGCCCAAGTTCCTCTGTTTATAAACCTTATTTTTGTTTCTTTATGAATGCCTTTTTTTTTTTTTTTTTTTGGAGGAAACAGAATTGCTCTGTTGCCCAGGCTGGAATGAAATGGCATCATCTCAGCTCACTGTAACCTCCACCTCCTGGGTTCAAGAAAAATTGTCCTTCCTCAGCCACCTGAGTAGCTATTACAGGCATGCAGTACTATGCCCACATGATTTTTGTAATTTTAGTAGAGACAGGGTTTCGCCATGTTGGCCAGGCTGGTCTTGAACTCCTCACCTCAAGTGATTTGCCTGCCTCAGCCTCCCAGAGTGCTGGGATTACAGGCATGAGCCGCTGTACCTGGCCTGTGAATGCTTTTATGTCTCAACAGTTTGCTTAAATTTTCACTGGTACAAAAAACACTTTAAAGTAATTAGACAACTGCTTTAGTTCAAGAACCTTTGAGAAACAAGAGTAGGGTGAAAACAGGCCTGAATTTATCTATGTTAAAGGAAATAAAAACCTTGTAGAATTAAAATTGGGGTTCATATGGTATTTCCTGTTGCTATCTTTTTTTTCCTGCTTATCAAATAAATATATCCTTATTGTAGAAGTACAGAAAAGTACAGAGTTTGAGTAACAGTTTCAAACTGCATTCGTTTTGCAGCTTCGTGATTGTATCCAAAAAACCTTGAATGAGTGGAGTTCCCAAATCAACCCAGATTTGGTGAGGGTAAGTGAAATGTGAATGCAAAAATCATGCAGGTCAAAAAGGAAGTAAAGTAAACAGGAAGTTAATTTCTTCAGTTTTGTGAGGGAAGTCAAATAGGCAATTAGCCATAAAACTCTCTGTGGTCGATTTGCTGAGACGGCACTCTGATCCAGTAGGCTTATGCATAAAACAGAAAATCTAGACTGTAGGCAACTGTTTAACCAGACAAGATACTAGGATTCTCATGCTTAATTCTCACCACGGTTTCCTCACTGTGGTTTCCTCACTATTAGTGTTTTATTTCAGTTTATATTTGGTCTAGTAGAGGAATGATTATCAGTTGTGATTGATTGATTGCTTTGGTAGACTCAATGTCACTAGAAGTAATTTTTCAAATGTCAGTTTCCGATGAAACAGTAAGGAACTGTGTTCCATTAAATGTCAGTATATGGCTACTGACATAAATGTTAGTGTTCAAAACCCTAAACCACTCTTTGAAATCTAACTCAGTTAAAGGCTCACAGCACATTACTTAGGCTACTTTAAAAGTATGGAAAAGGACATGTGCGGAAATACTGGTTCCTCTGGGCATACCGCAACCATGTAACTCTATAGCTACTATATAGACATTGAGTAATGGTTTTTTAAATCAATCTCTGTTTCTCTGAAATGACTATTTATTCTATTTATGCTTGACTTGTAAACACTTACTGAACCCCTGATATGTGCTGTGAAAGTGCTCAAGAATCATGGGAAAGCCTTAGCTGTTTACTTTGTATGATATTGTAAATGTAAGTTAATACGTTTCTGATGTATATGTACTAATATTTTCTCATTATCCTTGTGCATTATTCATTAAAATACGTTCAAATGGCCTTTGCTTTTTTCTGTTTTACTCAGGAAAAAAGTTTTGGTTTACAATGCTTGTGATTACAGGCCGGGCACAGTGGCTCACGCCTATAATTCCAGCACGTTGGGAGGCTGAAGCAGGTAGATCACCTGAAGTCAGGAGTTTGAGACCAGCCTGGCCAACATGGCGAAATCCCATCTCTACTAAAAAAACAAAAAAAACAAACAAAAAAAAAGCCAGGCATGGTGGTACGTGCCTGTAATCCCAGCTTGGGAGGCTGAGGCAGGAGAATCACTTCTTCTTAGAGTAAAATTATCTGCTGTGCTAGCGTTTCTGACTCCTCACATATGCCCCCACTGCTTGTTTTTAATTTTTTTGATCATGCTTCTTTCTAAATACCTCGTCAAAATGAGACAGATTTTCTCAGACAACAGATACACACACACCATTTTACCTTTATGTCAGAGCTTTACAACCCTTGTAAAGCCCACCTAGCCACCCAGACCTCAGGTAAATAGCTCTGTTGTCTTATAGGTTCTCTGCTTCTTTTAGGCATTATGGATAATAGAAAATTTTATAATTAATCAGAAGCATTAAATTTTGTATTTATTTTAAATATTGTGTTTATTATAGGAATTTCCAGATGTCTTGGAATGCACTGTATCTCATGCAGTAGAAAAGATAAATCCTGATGAAAGAGAAGAAATGAAAGTTTCTGGTAAAGTACAGTCTTTTCAATTTATTTTGTTACATAGTGGAAGCGATAGATTTTGTTAGGCATTAAAATAAGCCTTTCTTTGCTCAGACACTAAATGTGAGAAATTCAAAAATTATTTTTTAACATAATTTTACTTAAACTCCAAGATGGAGTTCTAAGAGGTCAATGCTGGCTATTATATAAGAGTCAGAATAGAACTTCAACTTGCTGTTCTTCATGATGGTGTCATCATGTCATGTAATTTATGTGTCAAACTTCAGAGCAGTAGAAAGATTAAGATGAAGGAGATGGAAAGGATAAAGGGAAGGCTTAGAAGCAGTGTCCACCCAAAGCAAGCATAAGCACCCCCTTCTGGTAAGATACTGGTAAGCAATGTCTGAGGTCACCTGCAAATATAAAAAGAAACCTGGGCAAGTTACATGGAGAGAAAGAAAATACTGTAACACCCATTCAGGAAATGTAGTGAGTGACAAATTCCAGAAACTGTACTATACTCAAGGAATACAAAAATGAAAAGATATGCCGTCTCTGCCCTTACCTTACAGTTAGCATAGCATAATCATTAAAAGCTTGAGCTTTGAAGTTTCTGGGTATGCAGATTACAGACTAGTATAATGTTGGGCCAACAAAGACTTTAACCTCCCTGAGCCTTAGTTTTCTCATCTATAAAATGGGGATGTATCTGTTTCTCTGGCTTCTTTGTAAACTGGATGAAATAACAAAAGAAGCACTTAGCACAGTGCTTGCCTCAAAGTAAGTTCTAGGTAGCTATTGTTTGCTGCCATGTTGTTGTTATTGTGGTTGTTGCTATTTTATTATTATTGAGATGGTTAATAATAATAAATTGCATGTAAGATGAGATAGGGTATTGTCTTTTTAATCTAACTATAGTAACTACCATTTATTGAGTCTTGCTTTGTGCCAGACACTGTACTTGGTAATTTATGGTTATATTTTCTCATTTAATTCTCAAAACAATCCTGCAAGGTAAGTCTGTTACCGCATTGCATTAGTGATATTAAATAACTTGAAGGTTGTCATACAACCAGTAAGTGTGGTTGAACCAGGAATCCACTCGGGTATGCCTAACTCCAAAACCCATTTTTTCCTGTTAGTTTTACATTGCTGTTTGTGTTGGAAAGGACGTAAACCAACATTCTTTCTGAGGTTGACTGTAATTCATGATTTAGTTCCATCTTGGGTCTCTTAGAAGTTGTCTTCAGTTCCTACAGGGCTTGAGATTTCTTAATAGGTATCAAAATTCTCCCCATCTAAAGAGCTTTCCTCTTTCTACCTATCCAAAAAAGCCTCATCCTTCAGAGAAAGGAGGCCATTTCAGACGGCACAAATTCATGGACAGAGGAATAGTAGTGGGGAAGGTTTTCATAGAGTTATAGGGGCTAAAGTTAGACCAAAATAGTAAATACTGATTCTCATCTAATAGAGAAGCTGGGATGGCTGTTCAATAAGGAGTAATCTCAGGGAAGCAGTGTTTTTAGAGACATCACCTAGCAGTAGGAAGGAAGGGACTCATATAAGAAACATACAAGAAAATGTGTTGCATATATCGGATGTCAGGCACTTTATATAAGGGTATTTCATTAGCCCTATTTTTCTCTGTTTCCTCTTTTGATTTTTTTCTTTTCTTGCTCTTCTGCTACTCTACCTGTTTGTCTATTGAGTAAATTTATTTTTTTGAACAGTGAGTTTACATAAATACGTACATATAAAGTTAAATTTAAATGAAACCAAAACCTCAATCTTACAAATATAGAAAATGACTCAACTTTCCTAGTAACCAAAGAAATGACAATTAATGTGGTCCTGGGTAGGTATGTATTGTACCTACTAAGTTTTTTAAAAAATTTAATAATAGCATCCTATGTTGATAGAAGAGCAATTCTTAATTGGTGGTGGTGTGGTAAACTGGCACACATCTTTTAAAGTATAACAAGACTGACACAAAACGTCATGTGCTTTGACTCATAATCACATTTCTAACAATTCATCCCTGGGAAATGATATAGTATAATGCTGAACAACAAGTTACTAAGATGTTTGTTTTGGCATTATATATGTGAAAATAGAAAACTGGAACTACTACTGGAACATTTACTAACCTAAATGTTCAATAAGTAGAACTCATTTAATAAATGCCACTCTTCAAAACTACAAAATAATATTCAACCATTAAAAAATGAGCATGTAAAATTGGCTGGGCTCAGTGGCTCACGCCTGTAATCCCAGCACTTTGGGAGGCGAGTCAGGTGGATCATTTGAGGCCAGGAGTTCGAGACCAGCCTGGGCAACATGGCAAAACCCCGTCTCTACTAAAAATACAAAAATTAGCCAGGCATGGTGGCGCAGGCCTATAAGCCCAGCTACTTGGGTGGCTGAGGCATGAGAATTGCTTGAACCAGGAGGAGGTTGCAGTGAACCAAGATGGCACCACAGTGCGACAGAGAAAGACTCTGTCTCAAAAAAAAAAAGTATATAAAATTATAAATTATACACTAAAAACACAGAATAATATTCAAGGCCACCCCTAAGTGGAAAAAAAGCCACAGAATACACAGAACTCTAAACAATAATTTGGGTGATGAGACTGGCCATCCTTTTTGGTCTTTCTACTTTTATAGATCTTCCTCATTTCCACAGTAAGCACATGACTATTAGGATAAAAATATTTTTTCCTGATGTGGTGCTGTAATCCCAGCACCTTGGGAAGATTGCTTGAGGCCAGGAGTTCAAGAGTCCCTGGGCAACATATCGAGACCCTGTCTCTACAAAAAAATAAAAAAAATTAGCCAGGTGTAAGGGTACATGCCTGTAGTCCTAGCTACTTGGGAGGCTAAGGTGAGAGGAACACTTGAGCTCAGAATGTTGATGCTGCAGTGAACTGTGATCGCACTACTGCACTCCAACCTGGATGAGAGTGAGACCCTGTCTCAAGAAAAAATTGTGGTGATTCACACCTGTAATCACAGCACTTTGGGTGACTGAAGCGGGAGGATCCCTTGAGGTCAAGAGTTCAAGGCCAGCCTGGGCAATATAATGAGACCCTGTCTCTACAAAAAATTTTTTAAATTAAAGAAATTTTAAGATAACTAAATACTACATAGAAATATATTTAAAATATTTGTTACATAAAGTTAAACCAAATAGAAGAGGAAATAATGTTATGCCCTACTTCATATGACCAAAAACTGGAAGATAATGTCTGAAAATGAAAATGATTGTATTGGGAAGGTAGAATTGTGGACTTTTTTTTTTTTTTTCAGTTTTCTTCTCATTACATTTTTTATTTAGTCTTTGTATATAGATTTTGGTTTATTGGAGAAAGTATATAATGTGCTCTATTAATGTTTTAAGTCATAAAAATATAAATTTCAATTAATTTAAGCTCCAATAGTTATCTAACCTGCTTCTAATAAATGGGAAATAAATATTTACTTTTTGTTTTGATAAACAGATATTTGTTGGCAACTAGCACATGATTTTAAAAGTACAGTGGAACTATACATTTATGTCTTAAAACTATAAAGTTATGTGACTGGGAAAGGAAAAATAATTCATTCAGGATTATCTGTCATCTTAGTATTATAGTAGTGTTAATGCTAGCATATAGTGAAATGTGTATCCAAATGTAGTAATCAGTTTTGTTTCCTTTGTTACCCAGCAAAACTGTTCATTGTAGGATCAAACTCTTCATCATCAACTAGAAGTGCAGTTGACATGGGTAAGCAAAAACTAAATTTTTTATCTTAATAGTGGACTTTAAATTAGTGTATGTGTATTAGTTATAACTTGTGTTTAGGTCCGGGTAAAAAGAAAATGAGTTGATTCCAATTTTACCTTTTAAAGTTCTAGCCTAGTTTCTTATGGCTTCTGTAAAATCATACTGACTTACGTACGTCATACTTTGATGTGCAAGAGGAACGTAAAAGGTGTAATGTAGTTAAATGTTCACTGTCTATTTGGAGATAGAAGTTCTTAATCATATTTTTAGCCCTTTTAGTATTAGAGGTGAAATATCAAAACCAACAATGGCAAAAAAAAAAAAATTCAAGTATTTTATATCTATTTTTAGCACTTAGGTTATTGTGATAATAAAAAATTCTTCCAGTACTTACATATATTGAAAACTCAAATAATTGGCTCTTTAATGTAACTTTAGAATGAATAATCATTTAAAATAAGCTCTTCAATTATTTTTATAGAAATTAAGAAGTTATCTACCTCTATAAATGTGGATTAAGACCAAACATTCAGTTTTTCAGTGTCTCAAGCTTATTCTTTGCTGTGACTACCAGTTACAGAATATTAGGTCATAATTCTTGTGATCATCCATATGCGATAGTAGTGAGCAAGTAGAACTGGAGAAGAAAATTTTATGAAGGTAAGGGAGCTACTAAAAACTTCTGGGACCTAGGAAACAAGAAGAAATTTTTTTCCCCAGAAAGAGGAGCATGTAGTAGCTGCAAGCTGCCTAGGAAGAAGGCAGGTCAGAGAAACCCACTTGTCTGCCACACAGAGCAAGTAGGTAAATGGGCACTTACACATTCTTGAAAGATGGAAATGTTCTAAATGAAAAGTAAACTATGAAATAATCTGTTATTTTGAAAACTAGTGAAGAATATTGACAGAATTCAGTGAGATACTTTGAAAACATTAGAAATATTTGTTTTTATGATGTAACAAGCGTTTATTCTCCTTGTGTTTTCCTTCCTATCAGCCTGTTCAGTCCTTGGAGTTGCACAGCTGGATTCTGTGATCATTGCTTCACCTCCTATTGAAGATGGAGTTAATCTTTCCTTGGAGCATTTACAGCCTTACTGGGAGGAATTAGAAAACTTAGTTCAGAGCAAAAAGATTGTTGCCATAGGTACCTCTGATCTAGACAAAACACAGTTGGAACAGCTGTATCAGTGGGCACAGGTAAGGGATGGCAGGATCATGAGTACTCCAGGAAGAACTTGCCCTTTTCAGTCTTTGCTGCACACTGTTAAGCGTGATGCACATAGTGGCCATCCCTGCAGGGTGACTTTTCCACATGTGGGAGTTTTGTTTTGTTTCTGCAGGAGTTTCGAGGCAGGTTTTATCATTTGGAGTTTTTGTTTCTTTTTATTTAAATGTATCTCTGATTGAACTGAATGTTAATCCCAGTTAAAATGAGTGACAAAAATACTAGAAAATGTGTGTTAAAACATTTATAGCCAAATGAATTAAGGCCATTTCCTTCAGTCCTACTTATGTGCTGAAAACAATAATACCTAAAGAAAAACCTTACAGCCGGGTGCAGTGGCTCATGTCTGTAATCCCAGCACTTTGGGAGGCTGAAGCAAGCAGATCATGAGGTCAGGAGTTCGAGACCAACCTGACCAATATGGTGAAACCCTATCTCTACTAAAAATAAAAAAATTAGCTGGGCGTGGTGGCACATACCTGTAATCCCAGCTACTCAGGAGGCTGAGGCAGGAGAATCACTTGAACCCCAGAGGCGGAGGTTGCAGTGAGCTGAGATCGCGCCACTGTACTCCAGCCTGGGTGACAGAGCAAGACTCTGTCTCAAAAAAAAAAAAAAAAAAAAAAACACCTTCTTCTTCTTTAGGTACTATTAGACCATGACTCTAATTTCCTAAGTAAGGGAACATTATATATAACAAATATTTTGCTGTTATTCAAAGATGTGTAAGACTGTCAGTTCATACAACTTAATATGGAGTGAGTGTCATAAATTAATTATTCCCCCTCTCTGGTCTAATAACCTACATTATTAGGAAAGTCACTTGCTGGCATTTTACCTTTACTCTCAGTATTTTTCTTTATTCCTTTTCCTTCTTCTTCAGCCTTCTCCTTTTCAGAGCTTTCAGAGTTTCTTATGGACAGGAAGACCTAGAGAAAGTATTTCCCCTTCTCCTTGATGGTAGCCAGAATGAGGTCAAGAAACTACCGGAGAGACTTAGATGATTCAGAATGTAAATTAACCAGTGCAGCTGCTGGAAGCTGTCAGTTCTTTTCTTTCAAAATGTGTGTGATTCATAGCCATATTTTACACTTTAAATATATTTACTTGTATTTGATCCTCTACCTTTAAGACCTATTCCCTCTGTAGCTGAAACCATCACACTTAACAAACTAACAAAAAGCATGTTTGTTTTCTAGGCAGATGTATTAGATTGTTAAATGGTTCTAGCAGGAGACTTTTTAATAGTGTAGTACCGGGCCAGGCATCGTGGCTTACACCTGTAAGCCCAGCACTTTGGGAGGCCGAGGTGGGTAGATCACCTGAGGTCAGGAGTTCAAGACCAGCCTGACCAACATGGTGAAACCCGGTCTCTACTAAAAACACAAAAAATTAGCTGGGCGTGGTGGCGGGCGGCTGTAATCCCAGCTACTCAGGAGGCTGAGGCAGGAGAATTGCTTGAACCCAGGAGGTGGAGGTTGCAGTGAGCCAAAATCATGCCACTGCACTCCAGCCTGGGCAACAGAGCAAGACTCCATCTCAAAAAAAAAAAAAAAAGTGTAGTACTATGTTGGATTTTTCCTCCCCCTAGTGGTACACTGCAAAATACATTTTGCAACATACTACATAGGGAAAAGGTAATAGGGAATTCCTATTCCCTATTACTACTAACCTAGGTTAGAAAAGCATATATTAATAATGATATTAATGTAAAAGTATTTTGTAAGCTTTAAGCACTGTGGATTGTGATTTTTCATATGTTCTAAAATTATGTTATTGCTTATTGCTTTCTATCTTTGGTATTTAATTTAGTAGTGATATCATGATTTTATTTTCACTTCTAGGTAAAACCAAATAGTAACCAAGTTAATCTTGCCTCCTGCTGTGTGATGCCACCAGATTTGACTGCATTTGCTAAACAATTTGACATACAGCTGTTGACTCACAATGATCCAAAAGGTAAAACTGATATTTTCACTGTAGAGATTGATCATAAGCTTTGTCTTACAAAAAGGCACTTGTTGATACATAATTTTAAGTGTGGACAGTGATAAAAATACAGTGTTATCTGAACTATTCTTAATGGTTAGTTCAAAACATACATGTCTTTATTTTCAGAAAACTTTATCTCTGTACCAATGGGGAAAAAAAAGTGAAGGGATCATTTCCTGAACATCTGGTCTTTTGAGGTTCACAAATATTAAACTACACAGAAAAGATCTTTTGAGACATTCTAAATAGTAATATATATAATACTATCTAGCATAGCAAAGACTGGACCAAAAGGCCACTTGATTTTTTCTTTGGTTTTGAGATGGAGTCTTGTTCTGTTGCCCAGGCTGGAGTGTAGTGGCATGATCTCAACTGACTGCAGTCTCCACCTCCCGGACTCAAGCTATCCTCCTGCCTCAGCCTTCCAAGTAGCTGGGACTACAGGCACATACCACCACACTTAGCTAATTTTTGTATTTTTTGTAGAGACAGGGTTTCACCATGTCACCCAGGCTGGGCTTGAATTTCTGGACTCAAGCAATTCCTCCACCTCAGCCTCCCAAGGTGCTGGGATTTTAGGCATAAGCCACTGTGCCTGGCCAAAAGGCTATTTTATTCAAGGAGATAAATATCTGGAAAAAGTGGCACATGTAATATAATTCAAAACTTAATAAGCAACTTAGGATACGTAAGTAGGTATTTTATTAAGACATGTTTATATTTGATTAATGACAATGGCTTGTCTGTCTTTTATAGAATAATTTTTTGCAACATTTTATAAGATAACTAGAAAGACTTGGAAGATAATATTGAACATAACTTGCAAAGATAAATGTTTCAGAGAGCCTGTATATTACTAAGTATTTTTGGCATAAATGAGAAATGTTTGTTATAAGTGAGAAATGTCTTGTGAAAGTTTTAATTCTCGATGACATTTTTATAGAAGTTCTGATTTAATAAATATTAGAGGAAATTATATTTCATAGATAATTCCCACCAAAAAAATATTCAGCTTTTACTTCCATACCTAAAAAGATGACACAATATCGGTGGGTTGATTCAGTTTGCTCATTTTAAGAATGCTATGGATAATCTATTAAAACTTTATACTATTTATTAGCAGTCTGCTTCATTCTCATTTCTTCACTGTTTCATCAGAGGAGGGGGAGATGGAGGAGAAAGAGTTTTAATAGTCATTGTTCCTTGAATGCCAAGCATCATGCCAAATGCCTCAGAGAGGTTATCTATAATCCTCACAACAACTGAAACTATACATTTTTTTAGTCAAGAAATAGAGCCTCAGAGTGAAAGGAACTAGCCAAGGTCACCCAGCTGGCTTTGGGCAAAGTTTGAACTTGGCCTAAGTCTTGGATTATTTTGGAGCCTTTTCCACTATACAATCTCTCTGATTTGAAACGTTAGTATTATAATATTACAGTCTGAAAACTTTATCCATTTTCATTTAAATCATACCAGAATAAAATACAGTGACTTTTGCCTTCCCAGTAGAACTTTCACAATCAAGTAAACTGATTTTTTAAGCCATTTTAGTGAAAAATCTAACAAATGTTATGCTGATTTATTCTGAACTGTAAGTCATTTAAATTTTAACTTTCCATATGTTGGCAGATGTCATGTGTCTGTTTACTTTTTGGAGGCTCTTCTAACAGTAATTGTTACCAACAGCTGATGATCCAGCCTGTACCCTCTTCTAGCTTCACTTGAAAAAAACTCAATCCTTTTTCTAGTAGGAAAGGAAATAGGAAGAGATTAAGGTGTCTGGTGTTTTATTTTCACATCTCTAAATGTTGACATTTAGAATGTGTGCTAATACAGCAAAATATGTTGCATATGTATGTGAGGAGAGAGATTTAATCCTTTTTATATTTTTTGTATTACTGACATAATTTGATACTTGGTTGTCTTTTTTAATTCTAAGACTTTTGGTGAAAATGTATAGGCTTATCCTGCATTTATCATTAATGAACCGTCAGACACTTTAATCTATAATGAAGCAACTCTTGATTTAATTTGTCATGTTTACTGACTAAAGAGTTCAACCACAGTTAAATTTTAAAAGTATGTAGTTAATGAATAGCATAGTCTCTGATTTTGTGTCATATTTTTAATTTTTTTAAGGAACCAAACTGTAAAACATTTAACTCTGCTTGTCATCTAAAATAGAATTTTGTTTATAAATTCCCTGAAGGTCTACCCCGTTCTAAAAATTACCCTTACTCCCCATAATGGGTTTATTTTCCATTACCCTTTGTACTAGAAGTGTAATAACAATTTAACTAGAGAGTAAAATTGTAAAGTAGATGATCTTGAATTTAGAACTTTCCCTTTTTGTTTGTTCCCCGCCCCCCATTTCGATTAAATCCAATCTGTATTATATCTCTTTCCCTCAGGGTCCTCTTTGTTAGAAAATCTGATAAACAAATCCATATTAATGTTAATTTTCCAAGGAGACATTTGCATTCTATTTATGAAAACTATCATTTACTAGTGATGTGACCTTGGCCAAGTTACCGAACCTCTCTGCCTCAGTTTCCCCCCATAAAGGAGATAATAGTATCTATCTCATAGGGTTAGCATGTGGATTAACTAAGTTAATACATGTAAAGTACTCAGAAAAGTACCTGGCACATGAAAATAGCTAACATTGATTGAGCGTTTACTATTAATGCTATTCAGGTATCACAGCAGTTCATTTGGGAGTAGGTGGGTCCTTTAGCACTCCGAAATCAAACTGTGAAGATGCTCACTTAACCCCTATCTGTAGGTTGCTTCTGACCCCAGTGGAATCTTTCCATATTGATTGATGCATATAATAGACGTCTGAGCACCATTTGCCAGCCATTGTTCTGGATACTAGAGATAAAGGACCAAGTCAGACAAAAATAAACCCTCATGGAATTTATATTCTAATGGGAGGAGACAGACAGTAAAATAAATGTTACATATGATAAGTGGTAGTATATGCTATGGAGATAATTTGGCTGAAGCAGAAAGAGTATCCAAGTTAATTGCTGTTTTATATGGTACAGTCAGAGAGGCCTCTCTACTAAGGTAATATTAATCAGAGACCTGCAGGAAGGGAGTGAGCCATGTGAATATCTGGAAAAAGTGTGTTCAAGGAAAAGGGAGAAGCTAATTCAGAGGCCCCAAGGTGTGAATGTGCTTGAGGTTTTCAGGATACAGCAAGGAGGCGAGGCCAGTGTGGCCAGAGAAGAGGCAGTGAGGAGAGGAGTGGTGGGATATATATGGCATCAGAGCAGTCAGAGAGAGCTTGGATATATACTTGGAATTTGCTGGGCATGGTGGCTCACACCTGTAGTCCCAGCACTTTGGAAGGCCAAGGCAGGGGATCTCTTGAGTCCAGGAGTTTGAGACCAGCCTAGGCAACATAGTAAGACCTCATATCTACAAAAATAATAATAATTAAATTAGCTGGCCTTGGTGATGCACACCTCTAGTCCTAGCTACTCAGGAGAATGAGGTGGAAGGATGCATTGAGCCCAGGAGTTTGAGGCTGCAGTGAGCTGTGATCATGCCACTGCACTCCAGCCTGGGCAACAGAGTAAGACATTGCCTCAAAAAAAAAAAAAAAAAAAAAGAAAAGAAAAAAAGAATTGGCACTGCGACATTCTCAAGTTATCAACTGCTGGTAGAAGTGTAAAGCATAGCCTTTCTGTAAAGCAGCTGGCAATATGGCGTGTATCTAGCTTTAAGAATGTACTTGTACTTTGGCCCTTCATTTCACAGCCAGGCATGCATTTTAAAATGTTCGTCATCTGCATTGTTGTGGCGGTTTGTTTCTTCCATATTTGGAGATAAATTTATGTGTAGACTTTTTTTGTAAGATATAGTTGATAACAAAAATTTATTTAAATGGTCTTGCAATGATTTGTATTCAAATGCTTAAAGCATTGCTGGTACAAATATTTCTATTTTTAGAAAGGGTTTTTATGGATCAATGCCCCAGGTGTCATCAGAGCCATTGATGTTTTCATTGTTTAAAACGTCACCTGTAAAATGGGCATTATTTATGTGTATATGGCTTTTTTTGGCATTCTGGATAAATGTATTGTATAAAGTCTATACATTGGATAACACTAATATATTTAAACTTACAGAGTTATTTGTAATGGAAACCACCATTTTAATGTACTGTAATTAATATGGTTATAATACATATAGTCCTTCTGTCCTCCCATCCACACAACTTTGTGTGTGTAATAAACCGATTTTTGTTTGAAAATATTTTTTGTGGCCGGGCACAGTGGCTCACACCTGCACTTTGGGAGGCCAACTTGGGTAGATCACCTGAGGTCAGGAGTTCGAGACCAGCCTGACCAACATGGTGAAACCCCATCTCTACTAAAATACAAAAATTGCTTGGGTGTGATGGCACCTACCTGTAATCCCAGCTACTCGGGAGGCTGAGGCAGGAGAATCTCTTGAACCCGGGAGGCGGAGGTTACAGTGAGCCGAGATCGCGCCACTGCACTCCAGCCTGGGTGACACAGCGAGACTCCATCTCAAAAAAAAAAAAAAAAAAAAAAATCTCTTGTATCTCAATATTTTTAAACCATGGGCCTAAATAAAACTAATTTTGCTCAAGTTTTCTCAACCTAGGGAAAAAGAACTATGGTTCCATATTCAAAATAAATATAATAGACCCTTTTCCTAAGTAAGATTTTGTGGTTTACTGATCACACCATTGCACTCCAGCCTGGGCAACAGAGTGAGATGCCATCTTAAAAAATATATAAATATATATATATATATATTTTTAAAGAATGTTTATCCTGGCATTATTTTTATTAGCAAAACAAATGTTTTGACCAATAATAGGGAAATATATGATTATGACAGCTATATAATGTAGTAGTGGGAAAATTATTAAAAATGATCTTTTCACAGACTATTACATGGGAAAATATTCACAATATAAGTGGAAAAAGATAATTAAAAAGGCTGTAACTACAGTATGATTTCTTGTTTTATAAGATACAGGTATACCCACACAGATACAGATATAAGATATAGAGATATATAGAGATTCAAGATATGGATGGAGATATATATATGAAGATATATACACATATACACCAAAAAAGTTGTAAGAAAGTGCATGACTATGGTGTATCATCTCCAATTGATAGGATTATCAGTTACTTTTTTTTTCTTTAGACTTTCCTGTATTTTCCCTGACTATACATTAGAATCACCTGGAGATCTTTAAAAAACTGTGATGTCTAGGCTGCACTCACCAGAAGTTATGAATTAAATAGGCTGGGGTACAGTTGTAGTTACTTTTTTAAATAACTGCCTGGGAGTTTCTAATACTCTGGTTCAGATTCATAGCACACACATGAAGGATAAGCATATTATATATTAAATTTTGAGGGTTTCTTTTGTTATGTTAAATGCTTACCTACATAGTAAAGTGCTTTTTTGTTTTCCAATTTAACACGCTGGAGTTTTGTTTGTTGTTGTTTCTTTTAGAACTGCTTTCTGAAGCAAGTTTCCAAGAAGCTCTTCAGGAAAGCATTCCTGACATTCAAGCGCACGAGTGGGTGCCACTGTGGCTACTGCGATACTCGGTCATTGTGAAAAGTAGAGGAATTATCAAATCAAAAGGCTACATTTTACAAGCTAAAAGAAGGGGTTCTTAACTGACTTAGGAGCATAACTTACCTGTAATTTCCTTCAATATGAGAGAAAATGGAGTTGTGTAAAAATCTAGTTACTGCCTGTAAATGGTGTCATTGAGGCAGATATTCTTTCGTCATATTTGACAGTATGTTGTCTGTCAAGTTTTAAATACTTATCTTGCCTCCATATCAATCCATTCTTATGAACCACTTTATTGCTTTCCTTAAACTATTGTTTTCTAATTGAAATTGTCTATAAAGAAAATACTTGCAATATATTTTTCCTTTATTTTTATGACTAATATAAATCAAGAAAATTTGTTGTTAGATATATTTTGGCCTAGGTATCAGGGTAATGTATATACATATTTTTTATTTCCAAAAAAAATTCATTAATTGCTTCTTAACTCTTATTATAACTAACCAATTTAATTACAATTGTTAAAACTGAAATACTGGAAGAAGATATTTTTCCTGTTATTGATGAGATATAACAGAATAACTGGAGTAGCTGGGATTTACTAGTAGTGTAAATAAAATTCACTCTTCAATACATGAATGGAAACTTAAATTTTTTTATGTGTCCTTGCTTATAGCTTAGCTGTAATGATGTAACCATGTATTCTTGTACCGTATTATCTCTTTTTATTACTTATAAAGACAAACCAAAGTAAATCTGAAAAGGAGACTAGAAGCTTTGAAATTATTGTTTGGGGGGTTTATAAAAGCAACTACTGTCACCTCCAGATTCTTTTAAATTATTGATCCATCCTTAGTATATATTGCTACTCATTCAAGAATCCTCAGTATTGAGTACTTACCATATGTTAGGATACTGTGGGCTCTGGAGAGAGGAGGGGGCATAGAGCCAGGAATTAAGGATCACTTGAGTAAAATGTGTGATATTTATTCCCCATTAATAACTGACTAGGAAGGGCTAAAAGCCAGAAAGGGGATGAAAAAAAAAATCCTTAATTCAGGGCCAACATTATCTACTTAAACAACTTTGAGATATAGTCTTAACTATTTTAAAGCAGAATAATATAATTGAAAGTTTATTGCTAAAAGAGACTATATAGGTCATTTCGTATAATTCTTCCTTAGTTTCAGAACCACAAAATTTTAAATAAATAAGCTATGAATGTTGATGTACACTATAAATCTCCTTAATTCTATAAATTTGTGTCTGTAACCTGAATAGTTTGAAAACTTCTTTTAAAATCTCTTGTATCTCAGCCGGGCACAGTGGCTCACACCTGCAATCCCAGCATTTTGGGAGGCCGAGGCGGGCGGATCACGAGGTCAGGAGTTTGAGACCAGCCTGACCAACATGGTGAAACCCTATCTCTACTAAAATACAAAAATTGGTTGGGTGTGATGGCACTTGCCTGTAGTCCCAGCTACTCGGGAGGCTGAGGCAGGAGAATCTCTTGAACCCCAGAGGCGGAGGTTACAGTGAGCCGAGATCGCGCCACTGTGCTCCAGCCTGGGCGACAGAGCAAGACTCCATCTCAAAAAAAAAAAAAAAATCTCTTGTATCTCAATATTTTTAAACCATGGGCCTAAATAAAACTAATTTTGCTCAAGTTTTCTCAACCTAGGGAAAAAGAACTATGGTTCCATATTCAAAATAAATATAATAGACCCTTTTCCTAAGTAAGATTTTGTGGTTTACTGATTGGCTAATTTGATCATTAAAATTATGTGAAATCTATCCGGGCACAGCTCCTGCCTGTAATCCCAGCACTCTGGGAGGCCGAGGTGGGTGGATCACCTGAGGTCAGGAGTTCGAGACCAGCCTGGCTAACATGGTGAAACCCTGTCTCTACTAAAAATACAAAAATTAGCCAGGTGTGGTGGCAGGCGCCTGTAATCCCAGCTACTTTGGAGGCAAGGCACGAAAATCGCTTGAACCCGGGAGGTAGAGGTTGCGGTGAGCTGAGATCATGCCATTGCACTCCAGCCTAGGCAACAGAGCGAGACTATGTCTCAAAAAAAAAGAAAAAATTTTGTGAAATCATGTGATTTGCCTGGTAAAACTTGTTTAGATATTGAGCTACTTAAGCCTTCTAGCCTTTATATTAATCGTAATGTTATTAAATATATATATAGTTCATCTTTACATTTGGAAATGCCCATTTTTTTCATATAAGTCCTGAAACAAGTGTTCATTTTATTTTAAATCTATACAGTGAACTGGCCAAGATATTTTAAGAGGGAACTTTAATATCCCATTTATTATTTTTATAACCCTGGACTTACAAAAATTGATTGTTTGAAGGGTTATTTTGAAAGTGGGGGAAAAAAACTTAGTTGCTAATATATCTAAACTTCAGCTTTTTGGTGATCTCCTACACGCACCCTCAACTCTTCACAAAGAAGCAAGATTATAGATTCATTTTCTGAAGGGGATCGTGTATGGAATTTTTTAATAAGTTTTTTATTTTACCTCTGTACTCATGATTTTCTATTACTGAATAATCTTTTAAAACACTGATTTTTAAAGCTTTATATATAAGCTTTCTAAGCTGATGTTCACATCTTTTTTTCATGAACTATCAGAATATAGTGAACACTTTTCAAATGTTTAAGGACTTAATGTTTAAAAAGCCATAAAATAGAGTGGTAATACTACCAAATAATTAAAACTGAAAGCTAAGTTATCAATAGTTTATATAACAGATGTTTTCTGAGGAGATGTGAATCCAGTGTGACCAAGGTAAAAAAAGTTTATATAAGTGTTTTTTTTCCAGTAAATATGAAAAAAAAAAAAAAGCTGTAGCTTGTTTATTACATTTCCAGAATACACTGGAGCCTTACTGTAACACAATGTACTGTAATTTGGAATTTGTTCTGTTACGAGTCTATCTTGAATTCCCATCCATGAAACTGTAGTCACCAAAAGCAGCAAGTATTTTCACATGATATAAAAGACCATATTGTGCTAGTATGTTAATAGAATATCCATTTAGGGATGGCCATTGCTAGAACTTGAATCACAAATAATAGCTAATAATTATTCACTTTTCAAAAAAGATCATTTGGATAGCAGCTATGTATAAAATGGAAAATAAAAAATTATTCTGTTTTGCATGAATAGTTCAGACTTTCCCATACCAGAGCCAAGTAGTAACTAAAATTAGGATCTTAATTTTCAATGATAAAAGGTCTAAGGCTTATTTAATTATGCTCCTTTAACATTGTCTTTCTAGATTTTTCAGCCAGTATTTTCAATATTTGGGAATGTAAACAATTGATATATTTATTGTATGTTGGCTAGAAGTTCATCCTTCTGCAAAATATGCATTCGGAGAAATGTGAAGCTTGTTTTAATGAGGATTTAAACCATTTGTGTCATTTATGTTTTCATATTCAAATACACCAACTTAAAATTCGGAACCTATTTTTTTCATCATTAACTTCCTATGTTACCAGAACGTAAACCTTTTTCCTGTAAAGTTGGCAATAGGATATGGCAGTTTTGTTTTTGAAAAATATGTAACATGACTTTAATATTTTTATAGTTTTCAGAATTAGAAACATAGGAAGGGAAAATGTTTTAATTAGATAAGTCAACTTTTTATGTGTCAGTAGTGGTGTACTATAATAGCCAATTATAAAGCATTATTACATATTTATAATAATTTTTAATATTACCTACATTATGAATTTAACCAAAATAAAGTGTGAGTTGTATATTTTTAATTGGGTTTTTTCAATAACTGGAAGCATCCGGAAGTATTATATTGATTTTTGAACCATCTGAACTCAAACTAAGTATGATTTGAAAATAAATTAATAATTTAAAAACATCCAAATCATAAAGCTATTTATGCATTCATTCATTCCACAAAGATTTATTGAATGCCTGCTATGTGTTAGGCACTGTGCTACAGATGGACACAGATGAAAAATAACTCCTATCTTCAAGGAACATATGGTATATTTGGGGGGAAAGGGAGGAATCTGTATATGAATAAGAGCAATAAAAGGCTGCCTCTGTTGGCTGGGCGCAGTGACTCACACCTATAATTCCAGCACTTTAGGAAGCTGAGGCGGGCAGATCACTTGAGGCCAGAAGTTCGAGACTGGCCTGGCCAACATGGTGAACCCTGTCGCTACTAAAAATACAAAAATTATTCGGGCATGGTGGTACATGCTTGTAATCCCAGCTACTTGGGAGACTGAGGGACAAGAATCACTTGAACCTAGGAGGTGGAGGTTGCAGTGAGCCAAGATCGCACCACTGCATTCCAGCCTGGGTGACAGAGCCAGACTCTGTCCCAAAAAAAAAAAGAAAAAAAAAAAAAGGCCAGGCACGGTGGCTCACACCTGTAATCCCAGCACTTTGGGAGGCCGAGGCAGGTGGATCAAGAGGTCGGGGGATCGAGACCATCCTGACCAACATGGTGAAACCCCCCTCTCTACTAAAAATACAAAAATTAGCTGGGCGTAGTGGCGTGTGCCTGTAGTCCCAGCTACTCAGGAGGCTGAGGCAGGAGAATCACTTGAACCAGGGAGTGAGAGGTTGCAGTGAGCCAAGATCGCACCACTGCATTACAGCCTAGCGACACAGCAAGACTCCGTCTCAAAAAAAAAAAAAAAAAAAAAAAAAGCTGTATCTGTTGATAGAAGTAATGAAAAGGATTGGGGCATGTGGAAGGAAGTGGGACTGAGTAGCAGGTTAAGGATAAGAAAGACTTTCCTGAAGAAATTAGCTTTAGAATAGGGTCAGATGACAAGGTGTGGTGGGCATTCTGGGCAGAAACCCTTGTTTGCCTGGTTTGTAAATATGCCCTTATTGAATGATGGAGCAGTTAATATGTAAACTTTAGAAGTTCAAGGAAAATACCTTCAAAAGCTTATTCTTATAGAAAGGAATGGCTTCTGTTGAGACAAAAGTAGGTTAGGTTTGGAAAAGTCACATGTTACAAAAAGATGAAAACTTGCTATCTCCTCTGACTATATCAGGATATGGTAATATGCAGTTCCACTACCAGAGAAGTCAACAAAAGCTTTAACATGTTTCCTCAGCAATGACTAAATGTGTAAAATGTCATGTAAGATTTTGATGTGTCTGCTGGTCCATTATTTTAAGGTTCATGTTTTACAATGAATATTACTTACTTTCATTCTTTTCCCTCTTTGCTCACTGTTGATTCTTGCATTCTATTCCTTTTAAGTTCACTTTTTTTTTTTTTTTTTTGAGACAGGGATCTCACTCTATTTCTTAGGCTGGTGTACTATGGCATGATCATGGCTCACTGCAGCCTCAACCTCCCAAGCTTAAGCCATCCTCCCATCTCAGCCTCCCAAGTAGCTGGGACTACAGACATGCACCACCACACCTGGCTAATTTTTATTTTTGTAGAGACAGAATCTCGCTATGTTGCCCAGGCTGGTCTTGAACTCTTGGACTCAAGTGATCCTCTCACCTCAGCCTCCCAAAGTGCTGGGATTACAGGCATGAGACACAGCACCTAGCCTCCTTAGTAATTCTTTACCAAAGGTCTTTAGGGACAGTAAACTTTCTAGATCCTGTTTGTCTGAAATGTCTGTATTTGCATTCAATCTTTGTTTTTTTGTTTTTGTTTTATAGAGATCAGTTTTCATTATGTTACCCAGGTTGGAGTACAGTGGTTATTCACAGGTGTGATCATCGCATACTACAGCACAGAACTCCAGAACTAAACAATCCTCCTGCTCCAGCCTCCCAAGTTGCTGGGACTACAGGCACATGCCACCACACCCAGCTTAGTTTGCACTCACTCTTAAATGATCATTTGACATTACAGAATTCTAAAAGTCCCCAAACACAATATTGAAAACCAGATACAACCCAAATGTCTATCAACAGCTGAATGGATAAATCCATTGTTGTATAGTCATACAATGAAATACCACTCAGCAATAAAAAAGAATGAACTACTGGTATACACAGTAACATGGATGAATTACAAAAACACTACGCTGAGTGAAAGAAGCTAGACATGAGTATATACTGTATTATTTCTTTTTTCAAGACGAGGTCTCACTCTCACCCAGGCTGGAGTGCAGTGGCATGATCATGGCTCACTGCAGCCTCAACCTCTTGGGCTCCAGTGATCCTCCCACCTCAGCCTCCCAAGTACCTGGGACTACTGGTGCATGCCACCATACCTGGCTAATTTATACATATTTTGTAGAGATGGGGTTTTGTTATGTTGCCCAGGCTGGTCTCAAACTCCTGGGCACAAATGATCCTGCCTCCTCAACCTCCCAAAGTGCTGGGATTACAGGTATGAGCCTCTGTACCCAGCCTGTATTATTTACTTTACTTGAAATTTTAGGAGAGACGAAGTTAATCTATAACTACTAGTTATCTATTGTTGCATCTGGATGACTGGAGGACTGCAGTCTCACCTGAAGGCTGGATTGAGGGTCGGTTTCTAAGCTCACTTGTGTAGTTGTTGGCAGGACTCAGTGCCTCACACATTGTCAGACTGAGTTCCTTAATTCTTCACTGGGTGTAGGCCAGAGGCCTCCTTTACTCAGTTCCTTGCCACAGTGTTCTCTCCAAAGGACAGTTTACAACATAGAGCTAGCTTCCTACAGAGTGAATGATTGAGAGACAGCAAGATAGAAGCCAGCCTTTTGTTAACCTAATCCTGAAAGTGACATCCATCATTTTTGTCATATTGGTTTCATTAGAAGTCACTAAGTCCAGCCCACATTCAAAGGTTTGAAGACCAGAAAATGGGATCAGTGGACCATCTTACAGGTCAAACTTAATTTTAATAGTAATGTTTTTTTTGTTTGTTTGTTTGTTTGTTTGAGACGGAGTCTCGCTCTGTCGCCCAGGCTGGAGTGCAGTGGCCGGATGTCAGCTCACTGCAAGCTCCGCCTCCCGGGTTTACGCCATTCTCCTGCCTCAGCCTCCTGAGTAGCTGGGACTACAGGCACCCGCCACCTCGCCCGGCTAGTTTTTTTGTATTTTTTAGTAGAGACGGGGTTTCACTATGTTAGCCAGGATGGTCTCGATCTCCTGACCTCGTGATCCGCCTGTCTCGGCCTCCCAAAGTGCTGGGATTACAGGCTTGAGCCACCGCGCCCGGCCTAATAGTAATGTTTTACATGTAAAAATGCAGAATGACCATAAATAGTATGTATTTTTAGAAGGCTCATGCACTAAAACTGTCATCTTTTGGTTAATGCCTAATATTCCAGGGAGCTTTGACCTTTCAGTTTAAGGATTTAATTAATAAAATATAGATTATTTAAGGTAAATTTCCTTTTGGGCCTGAGTAATAGTATTGGTTACCATTAAAAAATGTGGGAGTTGGGGCATTGACCCCCCTGCACAGTTGAAAATCCACAGATAACTTTTGACTCCCCCAAAACTTAACTACTAATAGCCTACTATTGACCAGAAGCCTTGCAGATAACTAGTTAATACATATTTTATATGTTGTATATATTATATATTGCATTCTTACAATAAACTAGAGAAAAGAAAATTTTAAGAGAATCATAAGGAAAATATATTTACTATTCAGTGGAAGTGGATCATCATAAAGGTCTTCATCCTTGTCTTCATGTTAAGTAAGCTGAGGAGGAAGAGGAGGGGTTAGTCTTTCTGTCCAGTGGTGGTGGAGGCAGAAGAAAATCACTGCATAAGTGGAACCTCCCAGTTCAAACCCGTGTTTTTCAAGGGTCAACTGTATTGTATATACTATATTTACCTAAAATTAGATATACTGTATTTGCCCTAAATCCACTTCAGATAAAGAAGATAGGCAAAGAATAGGGCAAATCTGGTAAGCCCATGTAAAAACACTTTTTTTTGCCTATGGTAGATTTGTTGATAGACCAGCTCAATCTTCTTATATTATGAATATGTACTGACAATTTTCATATCTTATGTTTGTTTCTTGACCTTAGATTATATATGAGTTTGTTTTTTCCTTTTTCTTTTTCTTTACTTGAAAGGGCCATACTTGCAAGTGAATATTAGACATTGAATGATTTTCTAATATTCTCTCCAATTTTCTACACCTACTTCTGTCATCTTAATTTCTATTTCCATGCATTTGCTCACATTAAAGTTGTGGAGATTAAATGAGTGAATACATGTAAAGCATGTAACTAGTATCCAGCAGATATTAAGTGGCCAATACTATTATGATTGATGCTGCTATTCTTTGATGCTTTGATCTCCGCAGCCTACATCCAATTGGTTCACTTTCCTTCTACACAATTTGTCTCCTCTTCAAATCTAGCCTTTCTCTTCTGTTCATCTTCTTACATAATCTCACTGCTACTTGGCCCTACTAAAATTTATTTTTGCTCTTCACCACGTTTGCCACAAAAGTTGATCTAAACCATTTCCATTCTTCTGAGATGTATCACCTACTTCTTTTGGATAGATAATAACAGAGGCTATTATCTATCCAAAATCTTCTCTTCTTCACTCCACTTGAACATACTTGCATTCACATTCTCCTCTCTGTTTCAAGTATCAACTCTTCCCTCCTGCCTCAAAGGAGGGTGCATTCTTTTCTGGCTACAGCCACATCTGTTTATTATCCAGTCCTTCAGTTAGCATTAGGCTGGGCTGCAAATAGAAAAATCTGTAAGTAACAGTGGCTTTTAACAAGGTGTTTTCCTCAGGTGAAAAATCTAGAAGACTCTTGAGGGCTCCTAGGGCAGCTCCACGAGTTGATTTTTCCATCTCACTGCTATGCCATCTCTAAAGCATGCCTTCATCCTTATGGCACAAACTTGCTGCCTGAAAACTAGTGAACCCAACTTTCCAGGAAGTAAAATGCGCTTTAAAAGGCCACGAGGGCCTGGCGAGGTGGTTTACGCCTGTAATCCCAGCACTGTAATCCCAGCACTTTGAGAGGCCGAGGCAGGCGAATCACCTGAGGTCAGGGGTTCAAGACCAGCCTGCCCAACATAGTGAAACCCCGTCTCTACTAAAACTACAAAAAAAAATTAGCCGGGAATGGTGGCGGGCGCCTGTAATCTCAGCTACTCCGGAGGCTGAAGCAGGAGGATCGCTTGAACCCGGGAGGCGGAGGTTGCAGTGACCCAAGATTGCGCCATTGCACTCCAGCCTGGGCAACAGAGCAAGACTGCGTCTCCAAAAAAAAAAAAAAAAAAAGCCAGGGACAGCCTCCTCTCTTTTAGATGCCGTCCCTAAAGACATGCACACAATTTATACCTAATTGGCTAAAACGTAGTCACGTAGCCACATTTGGCTGCAAGGGAGACTATAAAATAAGCAATTTAAGCTGGGAAGCAGTGTGTCCACCGAAGTCTGTGTTCTGTGACTTTAAATAAAAAATTGATTTTCTGTTATAAAGAAGTAGAGACTAGGTTTGGTGAGGCACTCATCCATCGTTTCTCACCTCCAACAATAATTTGCGTTTACTTATTTTTTCAATCCCCCATCCCCTCAAATAGTTCTCTACCTTTTATCCCAAAAGATAACCAAAAAAACCTCTTGATTCTGGTCATTCTCTTCCTTTCACTGCAACAACAATAACAACAAAACCTTATTCCTCTCCTTTACAATTTCTTTAACTTTTTTTCTTTTCTGCTATTCCCAATCCCTAAACACCATCTCACGTTTAGATTATATAGCTTTCTACTTTGTCTCCGAGTTCCTGTGGGCACCTTATATCCCTTTTACCTCAACCAAGTCCTTAAATTTTATTTTATTTATATTTAGCGTCACAAATAATACACGAGTAAATATTGCCTTTTTTTAAAAAAAGTACAAATACCTCAAACGTCTCCCTTGGATACACCAAGGGCTACATTAAGCTCTTTAGAACACAGAAATGAAAGAACGCCTCCCGGGTTCAAATGATTCTACTGAACAAATGAACGGATAGCCTGTCGGTGCGTTTTTACAATTCATGTGAACCCGTACGCTAAGGCCCTCTGTCACTGCGGGCTTCGCTGCCCCCATGAAGGTCTTTGCCAGCAAAAATCTGGCTTGTCTTCTACAGCTCTGAAGTGCACACTTAAACCCAAGCCCGTTGTCTCTGACCGCCCTAGCCTGACCTGGCTGGGCGAAGGCAGGGATGAGATTCTCGCGAGCTCTCGGATCTTCGCGGAAAACGCGCTCGAGACAGTTCTCTGACGCATTTCCGGAGCGCCAGGGAAGAGGGAAGTAGTGGTGGTCGTGGGGGAGCCGGAAAGATGGTGGTTACCAGATCCGCACGGGCTAAGGCCAGCATCCAAGCCGCGTCGGCTGAAAGTTCCGGACAGAAGGTAGGAAATCCAGTCTTTCCTACTTCTCCCCGCTTCGCAGAGCGGCGCTCAGGCAGGCGGGGCGGCGCAAGGGTCCGCTTAAGGGTGCGGACTGCCAACAGAGGACCCCAGCTTGCCGCGCGCTTGGGTTTCCCAGGCCCCGTGCTAAGACTGTCACGAAAACTAGCCCTCACCACTGTCTTTTAAGGCAGTTTTTAGTATGGAAGAGAGGTTAGATAACTTTCTTTGGGTCGTTCAACTCCTTAATGCAGAAGCATAGTTCAAGCTTTTTAAACCATACTGTTAACACGGTACCAAGGAGGGTTAATTTCGGCCACCATGCACAATCCCCATTTAGGGGAACTGGAAAAAAAGCTTCGTTTTCACGTGGGGAGGCTGGCAGCTGTCCAGCGTTACCTCCTTAAGGCATGAGGAGGGCTGTGGTGTCGTCACTTGGTGACTCTTAGTGGCGTCAGTCGGCTGTCTCATTCTGACTCTGCGATGCAGGGAACGGAGCGGCGGCGATTTTTTCCTTACGTAAAGGTAAGGGCGGCTGATTCCATCATTGTGTTCCTAAACACATCGTTGTTCAGAGTTAATATTCCTTTTCTCCCCCTCCTATAGGTGGGTCAGAATGTTCGTCTACCCATTATATTTGACTTTAAACAGAAAAATTTTAATTGTTCTGCTTCTGAAGTTACATCTAGGAAGGATGAGGCAAGTGAAGTAAATGCAGGGTTGGATCCAGTGTTTAAATTTTGATTTTTTTTTTTTTTTTTTTATTCGGAGTCTTGCTCTGTCGCCCAGGCTAGAGTGCAGTGCCCAGGCTGGAGCCGCGACCTTGTCTCACTGCAACTTCTGCCTCCCGGGTTCCAACAATTCTCCTGCTCCAGGCTCCCGAGTAGCTGGGATTACAGGTGCGCACCAACACGCCCGGCTAATTTTTTTACTTTTAGTAGAGACGGGGTGTCACCATATTGGCCAAGCTGTCTGGAACTCCTGACTTCGTGATCCACCCGCCTCGGCCTCCCAAAGTGCTGGGATTACAGGCGTGAGCCACTGCGCCCTGCCAAATTTTGATTTTTTAAAAATCATGAGTTGGGCGGGTTTTGTTTTTTGTTTTAAAGGTAATCTTGTTTACTGGGTTTTAGCTTTTGGGGTCAGTACTTCATTTGCTTTGCCTTTGTTCCAGCCCTACCTAATTTACAGTATGTTTTCTCTGGTTTGCAGAGTTCTGCTGCTAATGGGATTCAAGCGCATCCAGAAAGTAGTACTGGATCTGATGCCCGAACTACTGCTGAATCACAGACCACTGGGAAACAAAGTTCAATCCCTAGAACTCCTAAAGCTAGAAAGAGGAAGAGCAGAACTACAAGCTCACTACCAAAGGGTACTGAACCATCTACGGATGGAGAGACCTCTGAGGCAGAGTCAAATTATTCTTCTGTGTCTGAGCACCATGATACCATTTTAAGGGTAACTAGGAGAAGGCAGATCTTAATTGCATGCTCCCCAGCGTCCAGTGTTAGGAAAAAGCCAAAAGTAACTCCAACAAAGGAGTCTTACACTGAAGAAATAGTCTCTGAAGCAGAATCTCATGTTTCAGGTATTTCTAGAATTGTGCTTCCCACAGAAAAAACGACAGGAACCAGAAGAGGTAAGGCTGAATCTCTGACAGATCCAAGCCAAGAATCTCATACAGAAGCTATATCTGTTGCTGAGACATCAAGCTCAGACATTTCATTCTCTGAAATTGCAACTAGAAAAACCAGGAGTATGCAGAGGAAATTAAAGGCACAAACTGAAAAGAAAGATAGTAAGATTGTACCAGGAAATGAGAAACAGATCGTGGGCACACCTGTGAATTCAGAGGATTCAGATACCAGACCAACTTCCCATTTACAAGCAAGATCTCTTTCTGAGATAAATAAGCCAAATTTCTATAATAATGACTTCGATGATGATTCCTCCCACAGAAGTTCAGAAAATATATTAACAGTGCAAGAACAGGCCAATGTTGAATCTCTTAAAGAAACAAAACAAAATTGTAAGGATTTGAATGAAGATGCCAATGGAATAACAGATGAGGGGAAAGAAATTAATGAGAAAAGTTCTCAGCTGAAGAATCTTTCTGAACTTCAGGACACTAGCCTTCAACAGTTACTTTCTCAGCGACATTCAACCCCCCAAAATAAAAATGCTGTATCAGTGCACTCTAATCTGAACTCTGAGGCTGTAATGAAATCATTAACTCAAACATTTGCAACTGTGGAAGTAGGCAGATGGAATGACAAGAAAAAAAGCCCCATAAAAGCAAGTGACCTGACAGAGTTTGGTGATTGTGGTGGTAGTGATGATGAAGAAGAGTCCACAGTTATAAGTGTCAGTGAAGACATGAACAGTGAAGGGAATGTAGATTTTGAATGTGATACCAGACTATACACGTCTGCGCCCAACACATCTCAGGGTAAAGATAATTCTGTCTTATTAGTTCTCAGCAGTGATGAAAGCCAACAGTCTGAAAACAGTGAGAATGAAGAGGATACTTTATGTTTTGTTGAAAATAGTGGCCAAAGGGAGTCATTAAGTGGAGACACAGAAAGTCTGTCATGTGACAATGCATTGTTTGTAATTGACACAACTCCTGGAATGAGTGCTGATAAAAATTTTTACTTGGAAGAGGAAGACAAAGCAAGTGAGGTTGCCACTGAGGAAGAAAAAGAAGAGGAAGAGGGTGAAAAAAGTGAAGAAGATTCATCAGACCATGACAAAAATGAAGATGAGTGTAGTGATGAAGAAGACTTACTAAATAGCACAAAGGCTAAACTGTAAGTTTTTCCTTTATAAGTTTTTGATACATGTATTTCAAGTGGTTACTATAAAAATATGAAATGTTAGCCTGGGGAATGAGAAAATCACTGCCTTGGGTTCTTCATGGAATAGCTCTTCTATCCAGCATTTCCCTTGTCTTTTTGGATACCTATTTTAGTCATATTTTTCCCAGCAGTCATAACTAAAAGTGCTCGTTTTGGTGACATTAGAAATCAATCTGTTGGATGAAGTGACTCATGCCTATAATCCTAGCACTTTGTGAGGCTGAGGCAGGAGGATCATTTGAGCCCAAGCAGGTGTTTGAGATCAGCGTGGGCAATATAGGGAGACCCCATCTCTACACAAAAAATTTTTTTAATTAGCCATGTGTGGTGCCCTGTGTGCCTGTGGTCCCAGCTACTTGGGAAGCTGAGGTGGGAGGATTGCTTGAGTCCTGGAGATTGAGGCTGCAGTGAGCCATGGTTGTCCCACTGCACTCCAGCCTGGGCAATAGAGGGAGATGTTGTCTCAAAAAAAAAAAAAAAAAAAGGACATCATATGTTAATATTTTTGTATGTGATAAGAGCAGTAAGTGACTCATGCCTGTAATCTCAGCACCTTGGGAGGCCAAGGCAGGTGGATCGCTTGAGCCCTGGAGTTCAAGACTGGCTTGGGCAACATGGGAAAAACCCATCTCTACCCAAAAAAATAAAAATAAAAAAGCTGGGCATGGTGGAAAGCACCTGTGGTCCCAGCTACTGGGGAGGCTGAGGTGGGAGGATCACTTACTTGAGCTCAGGAGGCAGAGGTTGCAGTGAGCTGAGATCGCACCACAGCACTCCAGCATGGGTGACAGTGAGACCCTGTCTCCAAAAAAAAAAAAAAGAATATGTACTCTCTTCTGCCTGCATTCTTTCACTCAGAATATTGTTTCTGTAATTCATCCATGTTACTGTATATACCAGTAGTTCATTCTTTTTTATTGCTGAGTGGTATTCCATTGTATGACTATACAACAGTGAATTTATCCATTCAAGTAATGATAGACATTCAGGTTGTATCCTGAATGTCTATCAGTATTGTGAGTATTTTTCAATATTGTGAGTATTTGAGAACTTAAAGTTCCATAATGTCAAATGATCATTTAAGATTGAGTGCAAACTTACTTTGGGAGGCTGAGGTGGGTGTATCACCTGAGGTCAGGAGTTCGAGACTATCCTGGCTGCTGGGCGTGGTGGTGGGCACCTGTAATCCCAGCTGTTTAGGAGGCTGAGGCAGGAGAATTGCTTGAACCCAGGAGGTGGAGGTTGCAGTGAGCCAAGGTCATGCCATTGCACTCCAGCCCGGGCAACAGAGCAAAACTTGGTCTCAAAAAAAAAAAAAAAAAAAGATTGAGTGCAAACTAAGCTGGATATGGTGTCATGTGCCTGTAGTTCCAGCCAGGGGACTACATACATACATTCAGGGTTGAGAATTACTGCACAAGAATGATTTCACTTTCCAGTAGAGGTTGATTATGCTTTCACCTACTCAGAGTGTATGGATAATTAGGGAGGAAAGTTACTGTCAGTCCAAGTGTACTTGCTTAAAAAGGACCCTTCCATAATATAAAGTAGAAATTATTACATAAATATAGCAGGAGCCCGGGTCAACTCTAGAAGATCCCAATTCAGTAGGTCTAGGGTATGATATTTGTATTTTTAAAACACTCCTGTGGGATGGATGCTCATTGCTGTTCGAGACTCACTTTAGAGATACTAGCAAATGCCCTTAGTCACCCAGGAAAAAACATTTAAGTTTTGATAACTTGGAAGTTTAAGAACCTGCCTTTCTCATTAGTTTTAGAAATGAAGATGTGTACATTTATTAACTCACTACCTATATATGAAGTTGAATCATCAGGTATATTCTCTCCTTTTCTGTAATTTATAAAATCTCTTTATGAAATCTATTGGTATTTTATATGACCTTAATCTTCTTTTTTTGTTGTTGAGACAGAGTCTTGCTTTGTCACCCAGGCTGGAATGCAGTGATGCAATCTCGGCTTACTGCAACCCCAGTCTCCTGGGTTCAAGAGATTCTCCTGCCTCACCCTCCCTAGTAGCTGGGATTATAGGCGTGCACCACCACACCTGGCTAATTTTTTGTATTTTTAGTAGAGATGGGGTTTCACCATTTTGGCCAGGCTGGTCTTGAACTCTTGACCTCAAGTGATCCTGCCGCCTCGGCCTCTCAAAGTGCTGGGATTACAGGCATGAACCTCCGCGCCTGGCCTGCCTTAATCTTCTCTAAGAAAATCTGGAGAATAAATTTGGGTATGTTCCCCCAAAACCTTTTTGGTTTAATTCATTGTGCATCCAGAGTTTCTTCTAAATGACTTTACTAGATTGAAAATATCTATTTACAGGAGTTTAAGACCAGTTTGGGCAACATATTGAGACTCTGTCTCTACAAAAAAAAAGAAAAGAAAAAATGAGCCAGGTGTGGGGTGCGTACCTGTAGTCCCAGCCACCCAGGGAAGTTGACGCGGGAGGATCACTTGAGTCCCAAGAGTTCAAGGCTGCAGTGGTCACCACTGCACTCCATCCTGGGCAACAGTGAGACCCTGTCTCAAAAAATAAAATAAAATGATGAAAAATTTATTTATTTAGAGTTTTTTCAGGAATTCCTTGTAAAAATAATATGCTTTTTTTTCTTCATCGTGGACAATACAAGGCAAGAGAAGAATAAGTGATTTTTTAAAATGCGATCTTACTTGTTTCCATTTTGATTTAATTACTTGATCTTTAAGTCATGATTTCTTTTTCAGTCTAAAGTTGACAAGCAGCAGCATAGACCCTGGTCTGAGTATCAAGCAGTTGGGTGGTTTGTATATTAATTTCAATGCAGATAAACTACAGTCTAACAAGAGAACCCTAACACAGATCAAGGAGAAAAAGAAAAATGAGGTAAGTTAATTGTGCTGTTAGGTTTTCACAGAACTAACCAATCACTTTTAGAAATTAGTCCTTGGTAAAAGATTTAATTTTCCTACAGTGAAACCACATTGGTGTAATGTGTTAGTTTTTTCCTTCTCTAAAAGAGTCATTTCTTTTTACAATAAAATCCTATCTGTGAATGATAATGCTTTAAAATAAATCAATACGGAGTCAGTGTTCCTCATCTTACACCCACCAGTTATGATCCCAGGGGTTTTGTTTTCTTCCCTTTTCTTGCTATACTTTTAGTTCTTAAATTCTTAACTAATGTAGACTCTGTTGAGAATCTGAAAGCTGTGAATGCCTGCCTCTTCCACCAGGAAAAAAATACACATGTGCATATAAACATTTTACATATAATTTCAGAAGGAATTACTGTTAGGGTAACCTTACCCAAACCCTTAGCTTTAGCCAACACCTTACACTGCTTTCTCCTAAATCTGTATTTTCCAGCTTTGATGCCTCTTACTTGCACTTTCAGACCTTTAAATCCAAGTGTCTGTTTGTTCATTTAGATGTCCTCAGGCACTTGACCTCACTAATTCCCCTTTCCCTGCCTGAACCAGGAATCCTCTTTTTGTATTCTCTCTTCTGGCTAATGAAACCAAAATCTCTTTTCCTTTTGTAGTCAGTCGCCAAGCCTCTAGGGGAAGACTTTTTCTTCGCCTCCTTTTTAAGCCACTGTCACCAGTTAGTACAGGCCTTTGTTTCTCATCTAGACTACCCCAGTGGCTTCCTTTTTGATCTTGTTTTCATCATCTTCTTCAAGCCATCCTCTGTACTTCTAGATTTCTCTGTCTAAAAACACAAATTCGGCTGGGCAAGGTAACTCACATCTATAATCCCAGCACTTTAGGAGGCTAAGGCAGGAGAATTGCTTAAGCCCAGGAGTTTGAGACCAACCTGGGCCATATAGCGAGACCACATGTCTCCTCCCTGCCCCAAAAAACACACCACACACAGATGTGACATAGTATTATCTTAAATCCTTCAAGGTACCTTTCTACCCCACCCAACTGTCATCTGCTCTATTCTTGCCACTGAAGACTACTGTAGTTGCCTGAACTTACCCTGCTTTTTCCCAAGCAAGTGCAAAAATAATTGATCGTTGCCCTTGGAGAACATTTTACCTTCAGTCCTTCCTCACAGCCCCTCTGTGTTTCCATAACTTCTAGCATAGATCTGATTCATTATTGATCATGTGATATGTTAACTTATCATCTTTTCTTTATATTCCTAAAACAGGGTTTTTCAGTCTCAGCACTACTGATGTTTTGGGCTGCATAATTTGTTGTGAAATGTTCTGTACATTGTCAGATGTTTAATGGCATCCGTATCTTTTACCCACTAGATGTCAGTAGTATTCTTCCTTGTCATCACCACCAAAAATGTCTCCAGACATTGCCAAATGCTCCCAATTGAGAATCACTGTCCTTGAGCCTAGTACAGCACTTGAAACGCAGCAAACTCTCAATCATTTGTTAAGTAAATATCATGCCCCCTTTTATGAGGGATAGGAAAGCCTAGACGACTACCTATACCACACAGAAACTTCTAGGCCTGAACCTGAATTGGGTGGCTGACAGTTAATTTCTGAGTTGATCATTTCAAATGTCAGTCCCAAATTAATGCTTTTAGTATATTCCTGTAAACTATTTTGAGGGCTACAGAGCAGTCTTATTTGGTTCTTGTACTGAGAAAAATACTAATTAAGCTGAGGTCCTTTAATCACACAGAGCTTTAGGAGAATATAATCATACTAGTCAAGTAACAGAAGTACAGAAATCATTTAGGAAAAGATAAACAGATTTGACTGCACAAATTTATTTATCTATTTTGGAGAAATGGGGTTTTCCTATGTTACCCAGGCTAGTCTTGAACTCTTGGCTTTAAGTGATTGTTCTACCTTGGCCTCCTAAATAGTTGGGATTATAGGTGTGAGCCACTGTGCCTGGCCTTTTTTTTTCTTTCTTCTTTTTTCTTTTTTTTGGGGCCTGGGTGCGGGGAGACAAGGTCTCACTCTGTCATCCAGGCTGGAGTGAGTGGCACAGTCATAGCTTGCTGCAGCCTCAGGCTCCTGGACTCAAGTGATCCTTCTGCCTTAGCGTCCTGAGTAGCTGGGACTACAGGTGTGTGCCACCATGCCCAACTAATTTTTTTACAGTCAGGGTCTTGCTATGTTGACTAAGATGGTCTAAAACTCCTGGCCTCAAGTGATCCTCCTCCCTTAGCCTCCTCAGAGCACTGGGATTATAGGTGTGGGCCACTTTGCCAGGCTGACTAAAAATTTTAAAACTTATATATAAGTTTAAACTGTTGAAAAACTTATATAACATTCTGACATTATTTTAAAACCAATTTTATATTTTTATAGCTTCTGCAGAAAGCTGTCATTACACCTGATTTTGAAAAAAACCACTGTGTTCCACCATATAGTGAATCAAAGTATCAACTTCAGAAAAAACGCAGAGTAAGTACAGTGACTTAATTAAAATGCTTGGATATGTTTAACTATATATTTTCAACTTATACAACATAACTGCACAATTAAACTGTATCGTTGGTCTATATATTAGTCCAAAGAAAATAATTACAGATTTCTAAGGGCTGTAAAATGTAGCACCATAAACACATTATGTATAGATTTTCACATCTTTGCAGCCACAATGGTGCATATATAAGTAGAGTTTTGTTTTTTTTTTTTTTTTAACATATATAGATAGATTGCTTCTATCTGCCATTTCAACTAGTTATCCAGAGAGCTTGGAGGAAAGTTGAGGATGGTACTCTAATAATGTTACTAATATGGAGCACTCTGGCACATGGTAGGCACTAACTAAATATTTGTTGTATGAATGAAACAAAATTAAGTAACTTGCTAGGAGTTTTCAAAAGAATAGTAGTTTTTTGTTTTATTATAGAAACAAAAGTTTCTGGATCCTTGTATGAGTGGCCTTCTGAGACTCCTGGGTGACTGAATAAAAATGTTTACATATAAGCTCTAGAAATGAAGGTGTTTTTGTACATTCTCTTACTGCATATAATCTGTTTTAGACAATAAAAATTGAAGTTGTGTGTTATTCTCCCAGCAAGTCAGCAGTTACTCTTTGAGACAGAAAATAGATTTTACGGAGCCCTCATTTATGAAACTGATAATCCTGTGCCTAATTTAGCAGAGAAGTCACTTTTTGTGATTTAATTCCTTTTATTTCTATGATTCTGGACATAAGTGCTTTCAGTAAAGCAACTATTTGTTTTTAATTCACAAAATTTTCTGTATGTGTTACTTCAGGGGAAATGAATTATAATGTATACTCTTAGTTGTTAGAATGTTTATTTTTGAAATCATAATTTCAGGAAGAACGACAAAAAACAGCAGGGGATGGCTGGTTTGGTATGAAAGCTCCAGAAATGACAAATGAACTGAAAAATGATCTCAAAGCACTGAAGATGAGAGCCAGCATGGACCCAAAAAGATTTTACAAGAAAAATGATAGAGATGGCTTCCCCAAGTACTTCCAGGTATGAAGCAAAGAGAATAGTGATGATCTGTGATTTTTAGTTTGGAAAGCACTACAGTGATCTTTAAAATTTACTCCTGAAATAGAGGATATTTCCATTGTGCATGCCTAATGTATGGACCATATCTGCATAGGCCATATAATAATGGCCATAACTCAATTCAGCCACTAACTTTTAATTTGATCACATTAGGGAGATCGTGTTACAAATGGTTACCAGGTCAGCTAAAACTTGCTGAACCTATAAAGTTCCCTATGTGAATATATGAATAGTACTAGCCTAACAGCAAGAGTCCATACAGGATGGAGGGGTAAAGAGGGTATCGTGTACTAATCCAAGGTGGTTTTTAAAATGTTTTCATCTGTTCAGATGTTACACCTCTGCTCAGAAACATTCAGTGATGAATTATGACATAGGATTGAGTCTGTATCCCTTCATTTAGCCATTAATAATCCATACCCAAACGAGTTCACCTGCCTTTTGTCATATAGCCCAACAAATTCCAACACACTTAGCTACTCAGTCTTGTCAGAACGTGTACATACCAGTCCCTGCATTATTTGACTTTGCATATCCATGGTTCTCGTTTACTTGGTGAAATTTTACCCATATAAATTCAAGCTAAATTGTCATTCTTTGTTAAATCTTCCTTACCTCTCTTAGGTACAGTTGGTCACTTTGTCTTCAGAGCATCTGTAGTGTTTTGTTTAGCACATGTTATGCTTTAATATTTTAGTTACTTTTTTGTGGAGCTTCCTTAAGACTGTGGGCTCCTCACTGCAGGAACCAGATGTTGTCTTCGTTTCCCTAACATGTAAGACAGTGCCTGGTGCATAGTAATCACTGTAAATTTTATTTAGTTGAGTGTATGAACAGATACAGAATGATCACTAAGTAGGCTAAGCTGGCAGCCTTTGTGATGACCTAGGAAACAAAATAGGTATGTAGTAGAATTTATGTGTCTAATTCATTGATTTGGGAAATTAGAACAAAAAGTATATATTATCTGTTCCACTTTTCTCCTTTAGTTACACTATGTATCATGAATTTAGTGTTTAGCAAAGAAATTTTGGATCTACTATAAACTACTGAAGAAACATAAGTAGTAGCACCAGTGTGTTTTTTTTTTTGCTTTAAATAAGTGGCAAAATTTACATTACTATTAGTGTAATGTAAGCTTGTTCTTTCCATTCCTTTCTCTAAATATAATTAGAGCTACACTGAAGTGTGAAAGCATCTTGGCACTCAGGTAGCACATGACTTATTTCAATAAATTGTTCACAGATTGGAACCATTGTTGACAATCCAGCTGATTTCTACCATTCACGAATTCCCAAGAAGCAAAGGAAAAGAACTATTGTGGAAGAACTGCTGGCTGATTCTGAGTTCAGAAGGTAAAGGAATTTGTATTTATTTTATAATATGTAGACTTTGCTTTAAAATATGTATAAACTTATAAAATTTCAGATAATTTAACTCATTTAAAATAATCCATAACGTACTAACATGTATTTTTATGAAAAATAATTTAGTGCAAATCTCTCTAATGTATGGTTTAACTAAAGACAGGGGCTCATACCTGCTTCTGCAGATACCACACATCACGTAGCCCCTGGAAAACACGACACTCATGAGAGAATGAGGGTGAAAAACGCAATTAATGCCTTAGTATTCTTGAGAAAATAGTTTTTACCTAATGAATTCCTTGAAAGGGTCTATTCCACAGACCACACTTTGAAAACCATTGGTCAGTTCTAAGAAATATATCATACTGTGGATTTTCAGGTTAAGTGTGTTTTGCTCTAGTCCTGATTTTTTTTTTTTTTTTTGCTCTAGTCCTGATTTTTGTGTTTTTATCCATCAAAAATGTTTAAAGCATTTGATACAGCCTGGTAGGTGGATATAGTGCATATATAGATGATATATGGATATAGATGATATATGGATATATGGATAGATAGATAGATGGATATAGTGCATATAGTAGGAAAGTCTTCCAACTACAGTTGCCATTTTTTCTCCCTAGATTGCAAGCAAGCGCTATGAAGTCAGAGACTACACTTGTCTTGTCCACTAATCCATTCCCAACTTTTACCCCAAGATTATATTAACTTCTAATGTCTGATATATCAAACATAAAGTTCTGATTTTTCTTTTCAGATACAACCGAAGGAAGTACTTAGAGATCATGGCTGAAAAAGCAGCAAATGCAGCAGGAAAAAAGTTCCGAAAGAAGAAGAAATTTCGCAATTAAGATTTACCAAGCAAACTGCCACATTTTACATCGCCCCTTTATTTACTTATTAAAGGCGTTTTGAAAACTAACACCATCATCTAAATTAATTTACCGTAGACTGGCCCTGTTTGTACAGGAATTTCTATTTGGAAAAAGTTGATTTGAGAATCGATTTCATGCCCTTAGAAAATAGGGGTGTCTAAAAGACCCACCCTGGTGTAGACTCTTTAAGGGAAAAAAGGAAAAAGAATCTCAACTATTTTAAGATAGCTGATGGTTTGTAAAGTTTTCAATGCTTAAAGAAAATTTAAAAGATAGGATAAATTTTGCTAACATGTTCAAAGAACTTTAAAAAAATGATCAAAGATATATAAACATTATTGTAATTAAGAGTTTTATGTGTGAGTGTGTCTGTGTAGGGGATAGGAGATGGTAGAGAGGCAGTGCCCTATTGTTAGCTATAAAATTCAGATCCAGAAAGTTGGGATACAAAGATATAAAGAATATGACCTAGAAAGCTTGGGCAGAAGAGCTGTTTTCCTTGCTTGGCAACTGAAACAGGAATAATTGGTTTTTATCCAGATTCAGTGTTGTGGTCCAAGTAAAACAGGATTAAACAATAGGATTTTAAGTTGGCCAGGGGGTCTTTGAAGTTAACCCAGCTTACCTCTTCTCCAGTGGTACAAGTATGCACCCTGGCTAAGCTGGTTTCTGGCACCCAAGGAGTGTTGATCATTTCTGTTGATACTTGGTGAGTTGTAGCTTCCTTTATGTTACTATTCACTTCACCTCTATTTTTCCAGCTACTGCTTCCTTGAGATATCAGCAAATATGAAATCTTCTTTTTTATAATAGTTTTGGGGTACATGTGTAGAACGTGCAGGTTACCTAGGTATACATGTGCCATTGTGGTTTGCTGCACCCATCAGCCTATCATCTACATTAGGTATTTCTCCTAGTACTATCCCTCCCCTACATCCCCACCCACAACACGCTCCAGTGTGTGATATTCCCCTCCCTGTGTCCTTGTGTTCTCGTGTTCTCATTGTTCAACTCCCACTTACGAGTGAGAACATGTGGTGTTTGGTTTTCTGGTCTTGTGTTAGTTTGCTGAGATACTTTCCAGCTTCATCCATGTCCCTGCAAAGGACATGAACTCATCCTTTTTTATGGCTGCATAATATTCCATGGTGTATATGTGCCACATGTTCTTTATCATTCGTGGGCATTTGGGTTGGTTCCAAGTCTTTGCTCTTGTGAACAGTGCCACAGTAAACATACGTGTGCATGTGTCTCTATAGTAGAATGATTTATAATCCTTCGGGTATATACCCAGTAATGGGATTGCTGGGTCAAATGGTATTTCTGGTTCTAGATCCTTGCGGAATCGCCACACTGTCTTCCACAATGGTTGAACTAATTTACACTCCCGCCAACAGTGTAAAAGCATTCCTATTTCTCCACATCCTCTCCAACATCTATTATTTACTGACCTTTTAATGATCACCATTCTAACTGGTGTGAGATGGTATCTCATTGTGGTTTTGATTTGCATTTCTCTAATGACCAGTGATGATGAGTGTTTTTTCCTGTTTGTTGGCTGCATAAATATCTTCTTTTGAGAAGTGTCTTTTCATATCCTTCACCCACTTTTTGATGGGGTTGTTTTTTTCTTGTAAATTTGTTTAAGTTCTTTGTAGATTTCTGGAAATTAGCCCTTTGTCAGATGGATAGATTGCAAATTTTTTCTCCCACTCTGTTCACTCTGATAATAGTGTCTTTTGCTGTGCAGAAGCACTTTAGTTTAATTAGATCCCATTTGTCAATTTTGGCTTTTGTTGCCATTGCTTTTGGTGTTTTAGTCATGAAGTCTGCCCACACCTATGTCCGAAATCTCATATTTACTGCTTGGAGTCACAACCTAGTAATAGCAGAACTGACAGTAATATTCATAGTTGGAGTTAGGGAAGCATCTATGTCTGTTCTCTTTTATAAAAAACTACTTTTGTTTCTGGAGTATTATGTTTTGCCTTCTACTGGATAAAATAAGGACCTAGTATGAGAGAATTGTCTCCTTTAGTGCTTCTGGCCTTCTACAAATATCTGGATATTTAAATAATGGATGAAGTTATGTTTTGCTTTTTAATAAGCAAGTCTTTTGAGAAACAGGTTTTACTGACTTTGGCCTGTGTCACTAAACTCAGTTCACCTACTGGAACTTTTTTTTTTTTTTTTTTTTTGAGACAGTCTCACTCTATCACCCAGTGCCATCTCAGCTCACTGCAACCTCCACCTCCCAAGTTCAAGTGATTATCGTGCCTCAGCCTCCCAAGTAGCTGCGACTACTGGGTATGCCATTATGCCCAGCTAACTTTTATATTTTTAGTACAGATGGGGTTTTGCCATCCTTACCTCAAGTGATCCATCCACCTTGGCCTCCCAAAGTGCTGGGATTACAGGTGTGAGCCACCGTGCCCGGCCAACTGGAACTATTTGAAGGCTTTATACCAGAAAAATGTTAAGAATATAAAGTGCTGCCACAGTCAGGTGTGCTGGTGAAAGAGACCTTCAAAATACCCCTGAGAAGATATTGAAAGATTTCTAAAAGAATGGTGTATTTATACATCATCTGGTTTCAAAATCCTTTTTTTTTTTTTTTTTTTTTGAGATGGAGTCTCGCTCTGTCGCCCAGGTTGGAGTGCAGTGGCATGATCTCGGCTCACTGCAACCTCCACCTCCCGGGTTCAAGCAATTCTCCTGCCTCAGCCTCCTGAGTAACTGGGATTACAGGCACCCACCACCACACCATGCTAATTTTTGTACTTTTAGTAGAGACGGGGTTTCACCATGTTGGCCAGGCTGGTCTTGAACTTCTGACATCAGGTGATCCACCTGCCTCAGCCTCCCAAAGTGCTGGGATTACAGGTGGGAGCCACCATGCCCAGCCCAAAATGTTCTTAAGACAAAGTAGATGCTGTAAGACTACAGTTGATAAAGGTGGGCTCTGGGCTAGGTTCTTAGCATCTAACACAATGAGTTCTGTGTTCAGTGTTCTGCTGTATGATAAACCAGCTGCTCTAGAGAAACACCAATATTCCTCTTACTGAAACCTGGGAAAATGTCTATTTTGGGTCCCATAAGTAGGATGTCACAAAAGGAGTGGGGAGCGGGGAGGCTATATAAAAAAGTTCAACAAAACCTTAGTAACTGGTATACACATTAATAGGATCTCATTCTTAGAAACAGCAAGTTAAAGAAAATATAATGGGAAAAAAAAAGTTAACATGTGCCAGGTATTCAGTCTCTCAGGTAAAGTGCAATTATTCTCATTGTCACATAGTTTTCGAAGTGAAGAAATGCTTCCAAGAAGTAGGGTCAATACCATGACCTATAATTAAATGTCATAAGCAGATCAGTGTTCTAGAGACATCTCAAATGAACTATGAAATGTAAAATTAGGTAAGTTTGTGCATAGAGGATTTCTAGGACGATATACCTTCAAATCAAGATGGCCCTGTAGTTCCTCAAGTTCAATTTTATCAATTCCAGTTACCCTCATTTCCAGTTCACTTTAGTGAATCACTATCATGGCCTTAGCTCATTGAGAATTCAGTGGTCAAGATTCTTAACTCAGACTACCCCAATCTGTTACCCTGTTAGCCTTTACTTGAGTTCTCTCCAACTTAGCCTTGGCTGCAATTTGGAATTACCTATGGTGACTTCAAAATGGCTGATGCCTGGGTCTCACCCCCCAAACATTGTGAAATCATGATTTCAAGCCTTTCAGCCACTCATTCTCTGAATCCTCTATCCCCATGAAGATACATTTTTCTCCCTAACCAATCTAGACCCAATTCATCTGTTTCTGTTACTCTCACCTCACCAATCCCAGTCAGGGAAACACTATTCTTACCAGTCTAGATTATTGAGATTCAGGAAAGTATAATGAAGCTATTGACTGTCAGCTGGGTTTTCACTGCTACTCCACAATCCATTTATTTCAAATATTTTCCACCAAATTCATTCATCCTGCAAGTCAGCTAACACAAATAATTGAGTCCTGTGCATTATATAAGCACTTGGGTACAGCAGGGAAGCTAATGCAGCCTCTACACCCAAAGAGCATGCAGGAGATACCAGACACTTCCATTCTCCCAGAACCCAACTTCCACGCCTAGCCTCAGCAAACTACTTACTCCTTCACTAAACCAGCCACGGCCATCTGATGAAGCCTGCCTTACCTCCTCATGGCCCCACCAGTCTAGAGAAACTTCCTACATACCTCCTTACTGCTATATTCAATTTTTTTCTCAGTCTTCATCCCTTCTAACCAGACAATGTCTTTTGACACTACTGATCTTCCCCTTCTTGAAGCTTGAGCTGCTCTACTTTGGTAGCAAGATCAGCTTTTCTGCTTCTCCTACCTAGTCTTTATTTTCTTACTCTACTCTGTCCATCACTTAAATTGTTGGTTTCCCTAATGCCTGCCTTCGTCTTCTTTCTCTATACTGTTTGACTTGAGTATCTTGTCCTCCCTCTCCTTCAACTTATGCTCTCACCTCTTCAGATGACCCCAGAGTCTCCATCCTTACATCTCTATCCCCCACCCTCTGTTGCAGACCCACATTTCCAATTAACTGTACAAATAAATTAACCATATAAAGTACTAGAAAGTTATCTCAAATTGAACATATCCGGAACCAGACACATCATCTTTCTGAGATGATTAAATAAAAACTAGCACTATGCCTTGCAAATAACAAGTACTCAAAGGGAAGCTACTGTTTCCATTTTCTCCTGCAACCTCCCCATTGAATAGTTTTAATGAGGCCATACTGCATTTTACTCTCTATGGCTCACCTCTGCCTAATGACACAAACAGAAACCCTACATTCAAGACCTGACATTCAAGCCCCTCCACAAAATGACACCACCACAGGTTTATATTCACTGCTTCCCTACTCATGCCCTAAGCTTCACTTGTGCTACTTACTTGCCTATTTCTCTCTCAGCTCTTTTCACAGCCCTTTCTCTGGTTTGTAGGAAACTACATGTCCCAGATTCCCTTGCCAACTGGCTTCACAGTAAGAC